TCCTGAGACAGTGGCAGGAAAGTGGACAGTGAGGTGGTCGGTGTGTGAGGCCTGACCGCCTCCATGTGCCAACTGGCAGCAGGAGCTTACACCTCCCCTCGGGCCTGGGCTGCCACTTGCAAGGTCAGGAGACAGCGCCCAGCTTCCAGCCAGAGACGCAGTGTAACGGGCCTGCTGTTGGCAGGCGGATGCGCGGATGCGCTGAGGGGCGCTGCACGGCCTGCCCAAGAGCAGAAACAGCTTCCTACTCCTCTCTGGTCCAGAGTATCCCCAGGGACTGCAGCCCAGGCTGCGAGCCTAGCAGTGCCAGCACCGGCCTGGACTAGACGGGCCGCTCACTGACCAGCCCCGGGACGGCAGCCAGGCTGATGGGGACGGGGCGGGGGGGGGGGGGGGGGGGGGCTAGAGGCTGATGTGCAGGGAGGAGGGGAGGAGGGAGCGGCTGCTGAGGCTGATCTTGGTCCAGCCAAGGCTGAGCGGCTCCCGCCTTCCACTCTGTAGCCCCAAGCCACAGCTGTGCCTGCACGTGGTTTCAGGTGGTTTTTACCTTTCTGCCTTCCCTTCCCCCCACCCCTTGTCCCTGCTCCATTCAACTCAGCTTTGCCACTTGGTGGAGGCAGGGGACAGGCACGCAAGAATGGGAGCTACCCACGCACCTGCTAGTGCCGTCCCCCACCCCGCCCCACAGAACTGGACTGGCTGCGAGAGGGCGCTGCTCCAGGGGGCGTGACTGCTGAGTGCTCCCTGTGAGTGGCACCTGTGAGCAGGCACGGGACAGGCTGCTGGCGGATGACCCCATGGAGGGCCAGCTGTCCATAACCCTTACCTGCTCACAGCCCCTTGCTGGCGTCCCCATGGCCAGACCAGGTTTGTCTGCCCCAGCGCTCACCTCTGGATTGTCCGCTCCTGTTCTTCCCTGGAAAGCTCCATGGCTGTGGTGTGCCTCCATTTCTCTTCCTGTGGAATGGGGTAGTGACTCCGCAGCGCTGCATGTGTGTGTGTGTGTGTGACATACTAGCATGTGCAGTGATGTTCCTTAGGGATGCTGTACTGAGGTCTCTGCTGCTGTGCCCACCGGCACTGCCCACTGGCCCTGCACACTGGCACTGCCCAGATGCAGCTGGAGACGGCCTGGGAAGGCAGTGCCATTAAAGTGTGAGTGAGTGGCGGGCAGTCCAGCTGGCCTGAGGGGAAGGGAGGGAACAGGAGCGGGCTGCCCCGCTGGACGGAGTGGCCAGGATGAGAAGATGGCAGGGCACAGCCTACACCTCGCTGTCCTTCTACTGGGGAGCCTGTCCCCCCGGCGTTCAGCCGTGCCTCTGAGCAGCAGCAGCACTGGGTTTGAGACTGTTTGTGAACAAGACCGAGTGACAGACGGTCGAGGCAGGGTGAGGTTCTGCTGGGCTGGGGAGCAGAGGCTGGGTGGAGCCCATGTCCAGGTGGGACAAGCCAGGGCTTCTGTTAGGCTGGCCATATACTACTCGGCTGGTGGGAGCTGCCCCTCCACATGCTTCGGGAGGGGCAGTGCGACAGGTCCCTTGGTCTGCCTTTCCTTGCAGTGAGGCCGATGACCCTCTTACAGGCTGAGGAGATTCAGGGTCAAAAAGTGATGGAGAGCTGGACTTTGGAGCTCTGAGCCATCTGGTGGGCTGACTCCATCCCCACCTCCGGGGCTAAGCCCCAGGCATCTGGCTGCTGCATCATGGGCAGGCTCGCTGGGAGAGGGCCGTGGGTAGGATGCCCGGTGAGCCCACTGGGCACAAACCACTGCTCCCTTTCCAGCGGCTGGCAGGCTGCGGAGAGTGCTGCTCTGGGGTTGCCGTGGTGACACTCGGGCCCATCTGCTGGGCTCTCCCTAGCACTGACCTGGGCACCAGTGTGGCCTGGTGGTAAGGGTCAGAGTTTCTCAAGCCACACCTACCAGGTTCAGTGCTTGTGGTCTTGGGTGGGCTTTAAGTGGGTCGTGGTGAGGATGAGAGAGTCTTAATGTCCATAAAGGCTTACCAGCACAGTGCCCGGCATGCGGTCCAGTGGTCAGTAATTGGTAACTATTGTCAGCCATTAGCCAGCAGCCAGCTGGCCCAGGGGAATTGCCAGCTTTAAACACCTAAAGGAGGCGCAGCTTGCAGGACGGGGGCTGGCACCGGGCAGCATGGGCAGGCCTGGGAGCAGCACTGTTTCCTAAGAAGGGAAGGCGCGCTGGGAAGGAGCGCAGTGAGCGGTTGGGGTGAGGTGTCCTCACCATCAGACCTGAATCCTTCTCGCCTCCCCCTCCCCTGGGAGGCTGTGTTCAGAGCCGGGACTGGAATGGAGGAAGGGATGTGAGCTGGCTTGTGCTGATAGATCATCTGGCTCAGTTGATCTTCCTCTTTCCTTTCTCATCTGTTCAGCATGTTAAAGCCTTCAGGTTTCAGCTGGGTCTGCTGTGTCAGATCATCTCAAATGCTCTTAACGTGGAGCTGGTGGGGGGGGGGGGGTCAGAGGCCTCCTGTTTTGCCCCTCCTACCTGAAGATCTGGGCACCAGGTTTAATAGGAAGCTGTGTAGTGAGGCGTCTGCTTGGTGGCGTGGGGTGTGGACGGGATAAGTGGGTCACATGGAGGCCAGGAAACCTCTCAGCCTCTCGGTACTTGGGTCTTCCTGCGCAGGCGTGAGCAGCCTGGTGAGTCAGTGCTCCGGGAACTGGGAGCTGGCAGGCAGTGAGCAAGCGAGGGGAAGTGTGGGCCTTTGTTTCTGTCCGAGCTTTAGCCTTCAGGAGCAATCTGGAGATCAGACTCCTCCTGGCGTAGTCCTGCTTGTTTTGAGATATTCAGCTTGAACAGTTGCTTCTCTTGAATGTAGGTCTTACCTTTTAAAAGGTTAGTAGTCTGGGCTTGTGTCTTAGTAGCTATGCTACTCTTAAAGCCGGGTCTGTCGTTCCCCACAGTAAGCCCTTATCGTGCGTTCCAGTGGTTTGGAAGCGGGGAAACTGGGAGGTTTTGAAGGGCGTGTGTAGACATGTCTCTGTTCCTGTTCTCTGTTCTCGGAGGGCGGGAATGGGCCACGCCCTGACACGGAGTCCCAGGAACTGCAGGAATGGCTCTGGCCTCCATTTTAAACCTGCACATCCTGATGCCCTTAGGATTCCTGTTGAAGGTGACTGAGTTATCCCACACTGTTTGCAGGAAGCTACAGTTCTGTGTACGGCTCACAGCTCCATGCCTGCTGCATTCTCCTGAGAGTTGGAATGTGGAGCCTGGAGGTCCATGAAAGCTCCCTAGTGCTGGAGGCAGGGCCTTGGCCTGGCTGGCCAGCCTCCCCATTATACTCTGGCTCACGGCTGTTGTAGCAGGGGTAACCTTTTCTGAGTACAGATGCTCCTGCACTGACCATGGGTATGTCCCGATAAACTCTCTGCACACTGAAAATAGCGTGTCTAAATGCATTTAATTCACCTACCCTACCGAGTATCGTAGCTTAGCCCGGCCTGCCTTGAACGTGCTCGGAATACTTCCAGTAGTCCACAGAATCATCTAACACAAGCCTGTTTTATAACAAAGTGTTGTCTCATGTCATTTGTTATACATATTGCTTTGCACCATCGTAAGTCAGTGACCTGTACTACAATAAATTGTAGATGGATTTTCTACTTCTAGAGGACTAGTTAAAAGTAGGAGTCCTGAGTAGACAAGGTCTTCAGAGAAATCACCTCAGTCCTGGCCTAGAAATTTCTAGCAATTCTTTAAAAACACCTTTTTAATTATCGGGGGCCAAGGCAGAAGCCCTCAGCCGTAGCTGTAGTGGTGGCGGCAGTGGGCAGTGACCGGGACCAAGGCCCTTGCATAAATTTTGTGCATCAGGCCTCTAGTCTACACTAATAAAAGAGAAATATGCAAATTGACCATACCTCCACAATGCCCACCAGCCAATCAGGAGTGAGCATGCAAATTAACCCAACCGAGGTAGCAGGTTAATTTGCATATGCAGGTGTAGATTGAAGACTGAAGGCTTCGGCCCCGAGCAAAGACTTAAGACTGAAGAGGCTTGGCTTCTCCACTATGGCCGGAGCAGAGAAGACAAGCCTCGTTGAGCAAAGGCCTGGCCTGGGTTCCAGTTGCCAGAGGAAAACCGGTGCTGGCAGCCAGGGGAAGGAAGGCCTATTCTTGCATGAATCTTTGTGCAATGGGCATCCGGTATAGGTAATAAACCGCCATGGTGAGTTTGTTATGTTTCCATGCAGACTTCTCTCTTTCATGTAGCAACTATCCTCCCATTTAGAGATTGGATATGGGTAAATCTGCCCTCCTTTAAGGTGGTGACATCCTCTTGGAGGCCCGAGCCTGCAGCCTACCAGCATCCAAAGTTAGTGAACGTGTCTCCACTCTCCCTCCACACCACCTGGCGGAGGACCGGGGCGGGGCCTGGGACCTGGAGTGGACTAAGGCGCGAGGAAGGGCGTTTCACGAGCTCCGCGGGAGTCCCGGGAAGAACGCTGAGAAGACCAAACACACAGTTTACTTTGCTGTTTGGCTAGGACTCTGCCTACAGTCTTAACTGTGTGCACCTTTCCCCTCGCCTGTAGGCCGCGGCCGCCCCTTCTCCCTGCTTGAAACGGAAACCTGAGGGTTTTGGCGGTAGAGACCAGAGATGGACGTTTCATGTGCCCCTGCGGGCTTCCCTTGGGTCCAAATAACTCTCTTAAATGATGGCCAGTGGGCAAGAAGCATTTCCTTTGGAATATTTCTGGCAAACTAGATTTCCTGCACGCATTCTGCACATGAAGCACCTCTTGGTAAATTGTGTTGCTAGAAGAATGTCAGGAATTTTCTTTATTGGTTCTCCATATGTGCTCTAGCCACTGCATTTCCAAGGTGAAGGTATAGAGCTGGCTTACAAGGGAGGTGGTGATGAACTTGGAGTCTCTCTCCTGGTTCGTGGTGGCTCGTGTATGGTCCGGTCCTTGGAGAGAGCTTGCATGTCCTGTCTCTATCCAGTGGTGAGTGCTCTCTCATTTCTTCCCAGGTTGGCTGGTTCCTCTGGCTGATGGCATGTTGAGATTCAAGGGCCGGTGGCAGCGAGGGCTTCTGATCCAGAGGGGACCACTCTAGAGGCCAGGCCACCAGTACCATGGGCCAGTGTGTCACCAAGTGCAAGAATCCCTCATCGACCCTGGGCAGCAAGAATGGAGACCGTGACCCCAGCAGCAAGTCACACAGCAGGCGGGGTGCAGGCCACCGCGAGGAGCAGCCGCCGGCCTGTGGCAAGCCAGGAGGGGATATCCTCGTCAATGGGACCAAGAAGGCAGAGGCTGCCACGGAGGCCTGCCAGCTGCCCACGTCCTCGGGAGATGCTGGGAGGGAGCCCAAGTCCTGTGCCGAGGAGTCTTCCTTGCAGAGGTTGGAGGAACTGTTCAGGCGCTACAAGGATGAGCGGGAGGATGCAATTTTGGAGGAAGGCATGGAGCGCTTTTGCAATGACCTCTGTGTTGACCCCACGGAGTTTCGAGTGCTGCTCTTGGCTTGGAAGTTCCAGGCTGCTACCATGTGCAAATTCACCAGGTGAGTCCCCATCCTGTTCCAGGTGAGCAGAGGAGGGAGCGCACCTGGCAGTGGTTTGTCCGGGCAGAGCGGGACTGGCTTCCTGGAGTTGGGTCTTCCTCTCTCTGTCAGAGCTCTCTAGGCTGTCCAGCCTTGGTGACTGGGCACTGACCCTCCCTGACTGAAGCTCAGCAGGGCGTGATCCGTGCTGAGCCCTGCTGCCACATCACAGCCCAGCCTCACTGCTGCTGCAGACCCTCCACTCCCTCCGTCATCCGCTCCCCTCCTCCCTCTCTACTGCCCTGCACCGGGCGTGCCGGCCGGGGAGTGCCCTGGGATGTGCCTGTCACTGCATGAGGCAGGTAGCCCCTCCGCCCCCTCCACCAGGGCCTCGCTGGCCGGGGAGCAAGTCGGCACTTCATGGAGGGTGTTTGGAGGGGAGGGCGTGACAGGGTTACCCCAAGGTGTGGTTTGCGAAGTGCTGGGGTGGATACGAATAGGCTTTGAGAACTCCCGTAACTTCTAACCCTGGGGTAGATTGCCCAGCAGACCTCAGAGGCCTTTCCTCTAGTGGTGCAACAGCCTCTGGGATGGTGATCAGTGTGGACCAGATTGTGAGCTGAAGGTGTTACACGGAAGTTCAGAATACACACACGATTTTTGTTTCTTAATAAGAGGGAATTTTGATCACTGGTGGGAGTTACCCAGGTTCATCCAGAATCTTTGGTCCCTTGGCAGTCACCAAGAATATTCCAGAAACAGCCCACAGAACATCAGAGAGCAGGAAGGGCCCCTCGGAGGAGGGAAGCACAGCCCCTGTTGCAGAAAGGGGAGCAGGGCACGGAGCTGGCGTCGGGCTGTGGGAAGATGAAGAGATGAATGGACAGGCAGGCGCTTTAGAAGCGGTGACATAGTAACCTGTCCTCACTCCACCTGGAAGAGTGACGTGGTGGTCTCAGCACTTCCGAGGTGGGCGAGTCCAGTTCCCACAGCCCCCGGCTGCATGGCGCGCTCTCCACGCCATTGCCTCACAGGAACTGATTCCCGTTACGGTGACTAATTGTGCCCCTACTTCCTGTTGCAGGAAGGAGTTTTTTGATGGCTGCAAAGCAATAAGTGCAGACAGCATCGATGGGATCTGTGCGCGGTTCCCCAGCCTCTTGACCGAAGCCAAACAAGAGGACAAGTTCAAGGACCTGTACCGGTTTACATTTCAGTTTGGCCTAGACTCTGAAGAAGGGCAGCGGTCACTGCATCGGGAAATAGCCATTGCCCTGTGGAAGCTAGTCTTTACCCAGAACAACCCGCCCGTGTTGGACCAGTGGCTACACTTCCTGACAGAGAACCCTTCGGGGGTCAAGGGCATCTCCCGGGACACTTGGAATATGTTCCTAAACTTCACTCAGGTGATCGGCCCCGACCTCAGCAACTACAGCGAAGACGAAGCCTGGCCCAGCCTCTTCGACACCTTCGTGGAGTGGGAGATGGAGCGGAGGAAGCGGGAGGGCGCGGGGGGCGGCGCACGCAGCTCAGGGCCCGGGGGCTCGTGTCCCCAGGAGCAGACTTAGTGCTCCGGCCCCGGAGCCCACCGAGGAACGGACCTTTCTGGAAATTACCGAAGATCCGGATATTTTCTACTTTACACCTTTCTCTGCCTTGTATCTGAAAGGGCTCTAAAATGCTGTATCATGTTTTAGGCACTTTCTTCACTTTTTGGTTATTTTGGTTATTTCCTTTTTTGGGGGGTCCCCCAAAACATTTGAACCTGGCTACATGTTATGTATCTTTTTTTTAAGCATTCAGATAGAGTAAGCCTGCCATTTCTTGCACAAATAGATGTTTGTGGGGGGAGGGCGTCAGCGGGACCAGCGGTCCACTTAGCTGACATTAGACACCAGTGCAGGTCTGTGCCTCCACGGGGCAGGTCTGTGCTGTGTGCGGTGCTGTTTACATGTTGAATTGCGGTTGTGATAATTTTTAAAGATTTACCCGGAGTTGACTAGCAGTGTTAACTGTTACCCACGTTGCATTAGTTCCTTGTGAGTTAAAGCCCTTGGAGAGCCAGGGCCGCCAAACGTGTCCTCTGGTGACAGCCCACCCCGCCCCGCTAGCTGGCCCGCACCTGCTCCCCGCACGTCCCTCTGACCATTGCATTGCGTTTCATGCCGATGCCCGCCGCCCGCCGCACGCGGTCTGCCAGGCAAGTGAGCGGAGTCTGGAGCCACCCGCAGCCAGAGCTCCGAGGGCAGAGAAAGCAGCGCTACCTCAGTTTGGCTGGAAGCAGTCTTTGACAGGTGTTTCTCTTTTATGAAATTTTCTGTATTTTCATGCTGTAAGTGGAAATGCTTTTTTTTTTTCTTTTTTCATTTACCTTGGAGCCAAAGTTTCTGTTCCTGGTGGTCGGAAACTGCCTGCCAGCCACCGGGCCCGAAGGAAAACTGTGGTATGGAGCTCTGCTTAAATACTTCCTTAGAAAACGTGGATACATGAGCTTGCTTGTCTGGCAAGTGCAGCAGCCTGGCTGGCCCAAACGCTGCCAGCGTAGCGCGTCTTTACTAGCGAGCGTGTGCCCTTCCTTCTTGCTGCGCCGTGTCGTCCCTCACCCCGGGCATTATTTATTGTCTGTGATGTCAGGCCATCGGGGTGATGTGATGGCTGTTTAGGTTTACATTGCCCTCTTCTCCTTCCCCTCCCCACATATGTATATGTACATATATAGGATATGTATATATCTTACCTATCTAAATATATATGTACACATATATGTATCTATATTCCCCTTTGCCTGCTAAAACTGGCCCGAGAGGAGGGAGAGGAGGGCCGGGAAGCGAAGGGATGGAGCTTCTGAATCTGAGTGCAGACCATTTCACTAACGAGAAGATGACTTTCTCAGCTCTTTCCTCACAATAGGGAGCCCAGTCCCCAGACTCCTGCGCCCACTCCCCAAGGCCAGCTGGGGACACTGCCCAGGAGCTGGCTGTCCTACCTCGCTCAGTGAGGGCTGTCCTTTCCCCTGGACCCCGTCCTCCGAGCCTGTGCTGGAAGGGGGGCGGAGGGGCTTGGGGCCAGGTGGAAAGGGAGTCTTTTAAATAAACGTATGAAACACTTATATTTTTGAGGTGACGAGTTTGTCCGTGGGGCGTTGGCGTGTTCGCCCTGGCTGCAGGTGTCAGGTCCTAGGACCTTGGCTCGCCTTAGGGAGTCAGATCCCGTCTTGACAGACGGTGTCTGAGGAGTTTCTGCCCTTGATGTGTTCCTGAAGTTGACATTGACAGGGAATGTCACTGGAGTTGGATGTTCATGCTTCCAGCGGTGGATGGGGAACTAGAAAGTCAGCACAGCCGTCAGCAATGCTGCTGGGACGCTGGGAGGGTGGGTGTCTGCCTCATTCAGCCTGACACCAGGTCCTGTATATTTTCTGGGGACCCCAGCTGGTTCTGTGGGTTCAGTTGTAGTCAGCATGCCCAAACTGAGTTCTTAGACCACCTTCTCACCCAACTGTCTGCAACCTCCTGGTTTTCTCAGTTCCGATTGGGGTGGGGAGGGGGTAAGTGGGAGGCAGGTGCCCCTAGCCCAGGCACAAGGGAGGAGGCCCAGGTCTGAGGGCCCTGAGGCTGCCCCTCCCCAGCCTACAGGAAGGCATCCCTTCCTAAGGTGGACTAGAGTGAGGGGTTTTGTTTTTAATTGTTCATCTTTCCTGGGCACACACAAGAACTATTTTTAGAAGTTCTCAATTATATTTCAATGATAATTATTACAAAAATGCAAATGAGGACCAGAAAAGGGCACAGTCAGGGCGGGACTTCAGGTTCCTCCGAGAGGGCCCCCTGGCTGCAGTTGTGTGGGGCTCGGCGGGCGCCGGGCCTGTGCCCACGGGAAGCGGGCTCGCTGCAGAGGGGCCCACGGTGGCGTGCAGGGCTTCGTGACGCTCTGGGAAGTGGAACACCCCTTTCCCTTTCCCTGGAAATGGGTTTGCGACCGAGCAGGAATGATGTGGGAGAGGCCACTTGCAGGCCCCTGCGCCAGGCCAGGGCACCCTCCCTCCAGGATGTGGATGCCACTTTGAAAATAGGCACATATCTGAGGGTGACGACAAACTGAATTATTGTGTGGCAAATGCATTGGTTTTGGCAGATGGTTTTGTGGCTTCTGTTTCTAATTGCTCAGTTAGCCGTTAGAAAGCTGGATGGGATAGTGTTGCTTCATTGAGTGGCTCTTCCCCTCCGTGCACATTGGAATACACCATTAGCCCCGCCTCCTGCAGTGGCATGCTGGGCTCCAGCTGGCCTCGCAGCGCCTCATCCATACCGCAGGGACCCACTTGTAGGAGTTGGTTCCAAGACTCCATACTGATCTTGATAAGAAGAATCTAGATTTGAGTAAAGATCCAAATTTCAGCCACGCTTTTGGATATCAGTTGAAAATGTACCAGGCATTGTTTTCTGTGTTAAAAGGGTTCAGCCACAGTGTTAGCTGGTCTCTGAAGCAGTGCCGGCCACCGGGGGCTGGAGCCGCAGTGGGACTCCACCGCTCAGGCCTCCCACCCTGGGTCAGGCAGCGGCGGAGGTTCCTAGGAACAGGACTTGGGTCCAGAAGCTTACAAACCAAAGCAGGTCTGCCTCAGCACTGTCCGTGCTGCAGGAGTGTTTTCAGGGCAGTGCAGCCGGGAGACCCATCACCCAATTCCAAGGCGAGGCTGAGGGCGCTACCAGGTTGGCTTTGTCAGCTCCTGTTCCCATTTCCTGGTCTCTGGTTAGTGAGGACTTAGCCGTCGTGGTCACGGGCATAGCTGAAAGGACTCTCAGGTGTTCACTGGGATGCATTGAGGACAGAACGTGTGAAACGGACCCTCCCGTCTGTTCTGCCTGGTGCGGAGGGCTCCCACCCTCCCTCAGTGATTCCTGTGGGAAGCTGTAATTGTGGCATTTGGTTAGGGAACCTGGACTGGCCTGCATGTGAGGGAAGCTATAGCGGTGTTTTCCTTATGGAGGGACAGAACAGTTGTTGGAGCTCTGGTTCAGCAACCAGATGGTTCTGGTGGCTTTGAGCGGCCATAGGTGCTGGCCGTCGCCTCCTCCTGCTCCTCAGAAGCTCAGCCTGCCCGCACTGCCCGCTCCCTCTCCGCCGCCAGCATGGTCTGGGACATTGCCAAAGCAAGCCGTTCAGCTGGACCCAGCACACATATTCCGGGAGAAGTGTCTTCCCTCTGACCTGGTCCCAGCCTGGAGTGGGATTAATTGCTCATACCCGTTGCACTAATGAATAATCCTAGGTTTCAAAGGGGGAATTTGAAGCAGTAGGCAAAGGGGGCTTGGGTGAGTTGGTCTTACAGACACCCTGCCTTACCCCGCCGAGGTGATGAGTCCACTACTCACGTGACCCTCCACCTTTGTGGATTCCTCTTGGTTTGTGATCAGTGTTTCTTAAGGTTGTACAAACTTGTTGACTGAAATCAATACTTTTGTTTGTATTCTCTGCACTGTTAGGCTCTCCAAATGGCCCACTGAATATTTTTATTAACTTGTTACACACAATTTTTTTGTCTTTGTCTAATTATTTCTTTTGATCTTTTATTTGGAAGGTTACCTGCTGTTGTGTTTAAATAAATTTGTTTACTTGATTGACAATTCTGGAAGAAAAAAAAACACAAAATAACAGTGGCTTTATTCTCGGGCAGGATTTACCCTATGGTAGACCTTCCAATGGGAAATTGGATGGCAGTCCTGTGCTTCGGAAAGTCCAGATAGTATAGGACCCAGAGTCCCACTCACCAAGCTTAATTGCCTTTGCGGTCCCAGGACTGGAGGCAAAGCGAACAAGCCCTCACAGGGCCACTCCCTCGGCACGTGTGAGCTCGGCAGACGGCGAATTCCCATGCGGAGCAGGAGGTAAGTGCGCTCCGTGCTGCGTGGTGGCAGCCCTCTCAGGTGGCAGTGATGAAGGCAGAGGACACAGGCTGAGCCGTCAGGTGCCACTGCTGGTCACCTTTGTCAGGTGAGTGAAATCAGTTTCCTTTTCTCACCTGTGAAATCAGAAGACGAGTGAGGACTCACGAAGTGTGTATGAAGCCCCTAAGGTGTGTACACTTAAGGTTCCCAAAAGGATGTCCGGTGAGTCTCCAGAGCCCAGGCGAGGGGGAGGCATGCACACATACCCTTCCCCAGGCCCCTGCCCCCCTTCCGGCCCAATTTCCCTCTCTGCCACATCTGGGGGAGACGGAAGGCTCAGACCAGCATGGCTCCTGATGGCCCATCTGGCGCTGACATAGGAGTCCAGTTAGCTACTACTCGTGGCCTCTCGCCTCCTTTCCTTGTACTTCCTGTCTGGTTACTGCTTATATAGTAGTCAGGGAAGCGAGTGGCCAGCCACTCGCTTGGATGGAGGCCCTTGGCCTTCCCAAAGATGGCCAGCCCCGTGCCGGGGTCAGTGCAGAGGTGGAACAAGCTGTGCTTCTCTTCCTCCCTCCTGGTGGGAAGGCTCAGGAGCCATGCCGTGACCTCTCTACCCCACGAAGAGGGTAGAACTTTTCTCAGTGCGCTGCAGTGCTCTCCTCCAGTTGCGTTTGGAAGGACATCTAGAGGCGGTTTCCCCTCACTTGAAAAGTAAGCCTCTGGAGCAAGCACTTACTCCATTCATAGGTTCCTGTCTTCTGCACCAGCCCCTCTTTGCCCCCAATCCCCCCACACCCAGCAGGCCTCCCAAGTGAGGTGGGGCGTAGCAAAGGGAAGAACGAGTGCTGGTGCAGCGCCCAGAGCTAGTCAGTGTAGTTGTTGAAGTACAGGTTGCCGGTCAGTGGTGGCCAGCAGCATGTTACCGGACGAGCACAGGTACCGGACAAGCGCGACTGCTGTGGGCTGTTAGCAGGAAAGGCAGACCTGCAGCAGCGCCGAGGCCCTCAGAGCTGCTGTGCACTGGCCGCGGTCCTCGTCCAGCTGCAGCAAGGCCTGGGCTGGCTCTGGAAGCACTCTAGCTCCGGGTCCGGAAGGTTGGTCTGCCTGGGGAGGGGGGCAGGCCAGGAGCCAGGCCGCCCCTCCATTTCCTTGCTTTGCTGACTCCTGAGGAGGCCATGGCCCTCGCCTGGGTTTTGCTGGAGAAAGGCCCAGAGGAACATGGCAGAGGCCGTCAGCAGCCAAGCACCTACAGGCAGGGTTTGTAATCCCCACTGATGGGGACTCTCCAGGGCCCTGCTGTGTTTATTTGGGAGGTGCTACTGAAATTGCTAGTATAAAACATGAAGCTACAGAATAATGTGGAACTAGTGTGCAACAAGACAAGAAAAACACCACACTGGCTCTTCCGTACATGGACTTACGTAATAAAGGGGGCGTTGTCTTTTAATAAAGACGGGGAATTGGGTAAAATGTAAATATTTGGGGAAAGTTATCACAGCCAAAATAAATTCCAGGAGGAATAAAGATATACCATGGTAAGTTGAACCATTAAAATTACATACCGTATTTTTCGGACCATAAGACGCTCCGGACCATAAGACGCACCAGTTTTTAGAGAAGGGAAATGAAGAAAAAAAGATTCTGAAACAAATAGTGTCCTAAAACATTTTATGTGCATTAAAACCCAACATCACAGTCATAAACACATGTAATCAACCCTGTAAAGTAAACAGCAGCATTTAGAACCATTTTAGGGCCGGGCAAGCACACAGAGACCACACAGAGCCGGGCAAGTAAAAAAACTTTTTTTTTAAAGTATATGTGTAGGCTATATTTGGACCATAAGACGCAGGGACTTTTTCCCCCCACTTCTGGGGGGGAAAAAGTGTGTTTTATGGTCCGAAAAATACGGTATACTTGTTAGTGGATATTAAATTGAGAAACCAAGACGGCCTACATAAGCACCTAAGCTGCCGCCTCGCACAACAATTTCAAAACAACTACTAAAAGATAAAACGGACATCATCCCAAACCACAGGAAAGCTGATGGAGTGGGAAATCTACAACTAGAAAGAAGGAGAGAGGCTCACAGATCAGGGGAACCACAAAGTGCTGAAGTAGGGTGACACGTGCGCAGAGAGGAAGGGCAGCTGAGTGCCTGGCTAGCGGGAGGGGAAAGGAAGCCCCCGGCTGCACTGAACCCCAACCCTGGCCGAAA